TTTTTTTATATCTTTTAATTTATATGAGGTTTATATCTGTTCACTTAGTCTATATTTTTAATTTTATTACATGTTTTTTAACAGTTGACATTGGCGTAAATTTTTTAAAATTTTAACTTTTTTATAATTTATATATTATAAAACGTACTGGCAAAATAAATATATATTACTTTTGTAACATGTAATGTTTACATGTTTCTTTATTAATCCGTTTCAATACAGTTTACAAGTGGTATAATACATAGTTTATTGTTCGCTCTGTTTTCTAATTTAATACTTATACATTTATTTTCTATTTGATCGAGTCGACAGCATGAAATATTATCCGATTTTTCTACGACATAAGAAAAATATTGCGATGAAATGTTTCCATTTTTTACTAATTCTTCATCGTGAATTACTCGCAACTTTTTACAAACTAAAGCATTATATTTTGCACCTGTAAAGGTTTCTACAGTGCACAAGTATAATATTACTAGTATCGATTTTTGTTTGGTTATTATTGTGCTATTGGATCTTTTTTCTAGCCTCGAATAGATTTCACCGTGATATAAAATGTTTTTATAAATAAATCGCTCGAAAGTTAGGACAGTGTTTCTAATACGTTCTCCAAGCAAAAATTCTAGATTGCATTTTTCAGTCGCAGTTAATTCTATCTCACGAGAGGATCCAAACGCTCTTAAGGTATCGGGATATTCGATACATTTTTTTATTTTACATTCGTTCATGATTGCATCAAACATAGCTTTTCCTTTCCCGCTACAATTTGGCTGATCGAAAACTGTATTTTGTTTGATATAATTATGACGAACATAAAATTTACATATTTGGTCGGGTACATATTGAGTACCATTAAATGAGTTCTGTAAAATATGATTAAAACCCTCAAAAGGGAATGTAGACCACGCCCAAAGTGCGCCAAATTTTCGTACAGCTGCCGGAATGTGCAACAACAAATGTACATTGTAACTCATAAAAGAAATGCCATACAATTTTTCTATATCCAGCACAAATTTTTGAATAGCAAACGTGGCAGTAATGTATTCGTTATTCGAGATTTTTGTTTTTAAAAAAATATGTATGCTATAAACAAATAGCAGAAAGTGTTTTACATATTTTTTCGGCAATAGTCCATCTAAACAGATTAATGAATAATATAAGAGAAAATTTTTATATTCAGATGCTTTCCATTGTGTACGCTGCGTTATTGATCGAGGTGTTCGTGTTATTTCACAAGGAGGTTGAATATTAATTAGCCTAGCATCAAAACGCGCTTCATATTTACGCAAAGACCAAGCCTGTTTATGATTTTTTGAGTCACACCATGCCATCACAAATTGTTTAACTACGCCTTCTGCAACACTATGCAGATATTCGGGTGGAAAAGACGAAATTATATCAAAAACAGGTAGAAGTACTGCAATAGATGCATTCATGACTCCTTTCACAGGCTTGGCTGTCTGCAATGCTTTTTCTGCTTGCATTACGTAATGCTGTTGTTTTCTCAATAAACGCACGTCACCTGTATAAACATTTTTAAATCCACGTCCATTATCAAGTTGAATCTGGTCACCTTTATGATAGCAATACGAGCATCCGTACTTTCCATTAAATTGTTTCATGCATTGAATCATTGGTCGAGCAATGCTATCAACTGGTGCAACAATAGTATGGACATGAATTTGTATCGGTTCGTTATGAATAAAGGTCGTACTTTGAAATCCGTTAACGTGCAAATCAATCAGTTCATCAATAAAAGGTTTCAAAAATGTGTTCATTAGAGGTTTTACGGAATCGAACCACAATCCTGTTATCATCATATGATGTTTACGCAAACGATATGGCAATTCGTTGATCATAACTAAAATAGGCCACATAGATCGCGAGGAAGAATTAAATAATTGCACGCCATCAGTGTTCCATTGAATAGTTATATCATTTTTCCGAATAATGTTTTTCGATTTTAACTTTTGGTAAAATGTGCCGTTTATTATATCGCTTTCGGTATCACTTTCCTTTCGAAAGTGCAAAAAATGTTCGGAATTAATGAACGCAATTAATTGATTTTTTAATGAAAAATAAAAAAAATATTTTTTATCACTTTTTAATTTTTGTTGGCTATATTCTTTAGAACAGTTATCGCATTTAGTAAGTTCACCGTTAAAGAAATTTAAAATAATGATGCAATCCGGACAATAATAAAACGTACAATAACTGCTGATCGGAAACGACTTCAAAAATAAGTACTTCGATACGTGACATTTGCGTGGTAGATGACAATCAATCAATTTTAATAAATCCTCCAAAGCCGCATCAGTTAAATGATGGCGTAAAGCTGTGCTCATTATGAGAACTTTACTTTCTTCTCTTGTAAGGTCGCAACCTTCATGTATTACTTCTCGCTATAAAACGAATAAAATGATATATTTTATGTTGTTGATGAATAACGTTTATACATTTTTATTTAAAAAGATAATACGGTAATATTTTTGATGAATG